TGAGAGAAGTGACTCGATAATCTTCGTCGTGGGAGGGTTCGAAGACACGAGCCTATGAGACCAGCGGGTTCGGACGGCTTGCTATGCGGATTCGGGCATACCTGAATCCTGATTGATACCTCGAGCTTCATATCATCGTTGGTCGACCTCGATATCACACCTTCAACCACTCGAGTAGCGTAAATCATTGACGTCACGTCGACAGTTCCAACGTTAGATCAGACACTTAGGTTACGATTCTATGAGGTGCGTTTCGGGAGTGAGGCTTGTGCGCAGACTACGTAGAAGATGCAAACAAGCAACACTTCCCTCAAGTTGAGCAGCCTCAAAGTGAGCAGACCCGAAACCAGATACATCTGCAAGGAGATATTTGTGGTCTGCATCACGATGTCGGTTGCAGGTACAGATGTCCACATTCTGTGAAGTCATAGATGTACCATACAGTCTCCACACTTAGATGAGCCTTATAGCCACCAAGGCTTAGAACAACGATACATGTTGGGTAGTGAGTTAGAGTAACGTATCCCCACCCTCTGATTTACTAGAAATCAACAAAGACAAACTCTCGTTGACAGCATGCGGTAATACCGCTAGCTAACGATGACTATCTTGTGAAGACTGTGAAAAACGATCGAGTTGTAGTAAAAAACTGAGTCGCTAGAACGGAGCGGACTTAAAGTAGGTCGTCATGTACGACTAACTACATCTCCCTGGCGCCCTAAAGCAAGACCAAGGAGGTTACTTGGCAATCTTCCGCGGGAGATAATGGTTGGTAGACACGAATCTTGACGATCTGTTCATGGGGTAGCAGCTGAACCCACATATCGTGATTGACACCTGAAGATAGATATCATTGCTAGCCGAGTATTGAGACCATACCTGCAACCACTTGGGTAGCGTACTGCAACAGCTTCAACTCTAAATTAGGGAGCATGCCGCTGTATCTAGGAGGGGCACACAGGAATGAGGTTTGTAAGAATGCTAGTCACTGAGCAACCTCCTACCCTGACTGCTGGAGACGATGCATGACTTGGTCGTGGACTTGCATGAGGATAGCCTGTTCCTTCAGGGCATCCGCGCATAGACGAAGGTTTCCCCTGGGACCATAGCACTCTTCAGGAACCGATACCTTCTCAGTGAATCTAGAACGACCATCATAGGAAGGTAGAGCGGGGACTACGGAGGTCTCACCCTCCCAGAAGTTGATCCTGAGAGTCCTGTCCTGCCATGACTAAGTGAAATAGTCCTTGGAGGAGAAGAAGTGATGAGAACAGGAATGATGACTGCATATTAGCCAAGGAGAGCGATATGGAAAACTACAACGGTGCAAATGATGACTGTCCGGACCGACCAAGGCGACTACAGAGCAAGAGGGCAGTGGAAGAAGGCTAGAATCTCGTCGTTCGGTTGTGGTT